CGGAGGCCCTGACGCGCCGGAGGGCTCTGGCGGCGGACGAAACTCCGTGCTGGCCGTGGATGACGATGGGGAGGTCACGTTAGCAACATCGGCGGTGGATCTAGAGCGGACGCCCGCGGGTCCCATCCCGGCGGCGGATCTGAAGCTGGAGCACGGCGTGGAGCTCGCGCAGGCAACGGAGGAGATGGATCTGTGCCCAGCAGGCGGATCCAGCGCGGACCCTCCCCGTCTCCACTAGATCCGGCTGCATGGCCTCCACCGATGCCAGGCAAGGTAGGAAAGGACATAAAGGGGATTTTTTGCTCAGCCTCCTTCCGGTGCTGCCTGAATTTACTCAGCCCTAAAATAGAACCTGTGGTGCATTGACCCTGTGGTGCATTGATTAGTTTTAGGTTTGCGCTATCTGCTTCCATGTATATTCCGGCTGTTGATTTCAGTTCTATTGATCTTTTCCCTGTCTATTGCAGCAGTGTGTGTCAGGATTGCCATCAGATGCTTCCTGTGCTACTCAAGGTACCACCCCTCACGTTCCTTGCGATTTCCTCTCCATCTCGCCTAATTAGGATCATGTAAATTATCAAGCTTGAGTACTAAAATGTCCTTCAGTTTATCAATATCACATCAACTGTTCTGCTTAAGCAAGACAAACAAATGCTCTTTGTTTTCTCTTTGTCATAGTTTCAGAATTCAGCGTTCCATCCTCAGTCAAATTTGAATGGATGCTAGATATGTCGGTTCTCTGGTCCAAGTCCCTGACCAGCTTCAGCATGTGTTCTCGAGATAGATACTTCAATGTTTAACCATACGCTTTAATCCCTAATTTCTAAAATAGTCACAACTAATACTTCTATATCACCTTTCAATTTGCTAATTGTTCACAAAATATTGTTTTATACATGCAGCCTTGGCATCTACAATTTCTTCATGGTCACCAGGTCATCAGAACATTATATAAAATGAGGCAAAGGGCCACGTGTTTCATTCTTATTGCTGAAAAGAGCACTGGAGGAGTGTTTGCCAACAAAGAGAGTGCTGAAGCAAGTGAAAATATTAATTGATGGTAAAACTCCCATCCCTATTATCATCGGGTATTTTATGAAATATAGTTTACTTTATTGGTTCAAATTTACTGTTCTGGCAGAAAAAGAATTGTGATTATTCGTAGTTGACCCAATTGGAAATCATGTCAGATTTTATTGCAATGATTACATGCCATCTCTAAGCTTGCACTGCAACTGTGTCTCTGGTGATAGGTGTCCTTCAGCTACAAAATACAGTTTTGTGCCATATTTTTTGCGATCCACTTATATATAGATACATATGTCATATACTTGCAGTTAGTATAGACATGAAGCATATTTAATGGTTGAGCGCTGCCTAAAGGATACTTGACAGAATGGTGGTTCCATGGTTATCTGCTACTTTGGTCTGCCCATTATATTCTAACCATGTCAATGGCAGGCTTAGTCCTCTCCCAGGTTAGATTTCTTCGTCTATCTTCACTGGTTGGAATGGTCTGTGTCTACCACATCATATATTGTAAGTTAGCTTTGCGCATATATACAGTTTCTTAGGTCTTAACCGCTGGCCATGTCTTTGTTTTCCATCTATTATGTTAGTTCGTGTGGTTTGCCTGCAATTAGTATTCAGTCCTTACTGCCGATGCAGTGGCCTCACCTAAACCTTCGTATCATGTTGTCTGAAACCAAATCGAGGCAGATAAACAGCATGCAGCACTAATGGAGAAGGACAGCTGCTACCTCCTTTGCGAACTGAAAATTAGTCCATGAAGTTGCACGTTAACACATGGTTGGAAATTATAACTAAAGATAAAAAAGGTAATCCAATTGGTAAGGCTCATATTATGGTGAAAAAAAATCATGGTTCAGTGAGAAAATCTTCCTAAATACTTAGCTTCGTTAATTATATTTGTCAGCAATGTTTACGCATTCCGGCTCGGGATGCAATTAACACCATATATGCTAAATCTTCGTGTGGCTAATAGATTAGGAAGCAACAAAATACAGTGCTCCCTAGCTTATAAGAATTTATTCATGCTACAATGATTAGGACATGACGTCCTTTTGTCTATTATTATTCCTGGCAGGTTGATATGATGATGTAAGGTCCTGCCTGATCCATGTGCACTATCAGCAGAACGCTGCCAGATTTGTAACCTCTTACCTCTATATGTATTTTTATTTGGTTTGTTTCTAAATGCTGATACATCTTGTGGACTACAGCGAGGTATTGTTTTCATAAATGTTAAGATTAAATAATCATATATGGTTATATGTTGATGTACTGTGCTTCTATGCCTTATACCATACTAAAGTATTAAATCAAATGAATGAGTATGGTTACTATGGTTGGTCCAAGGTACATGATAACAGCGTGTGTTTACCTATGTACTTATTACAGTTATTGCCTTACCAAAATATGTCAGACAGGCTGATCCACCCCCTCTCTCATTCCCTTTTCATTTCCATCTAATTTTAGTTCTTTTCCTGTTTTCCTTCATGGGTATTTTTTTTTATTTCTCAACATCCAAGTTCTTTGTTTATCCTATGGCTTAATCTACCGGTACACACCTCTGCCTCTATTGCGATTGAGTTAGCATCACACTTGCCTGTTTTCTCGTTCTTGCTTTTTTCACATTTTAATGTGCTGCTTTGGGTTTCTAATATCATGATCTTTGTTCCAACGTCATGCATTAAATTGCTGCAACCTGTCGTGAGCCAATGTGGCCTGCCATATGCTTAATTATCTCTTCTTCAAAAAAGCTTCCACATGATCCATTCTTTTTGGCTTACACACCTACATGGCTTTATATTTTCCCATATGTGCTTCCTGCATTGTTCCTATTAGATTAACCCAAATGCAGGAAGCTGTCGTGTTTGTATTTCTTCATCTCTGTCAGCTTTTTCCTTTGGATAATAAGATCTTCTATTTTGCTTCAAACAGTTTGGTTTCGCTTTCTTAATTTCCTATTTCAGTCAGCGCTGCCTTTTCATGTCTCTCTCACACCATTAAGTTACTTACTACCAGCTCAGCAGGTGCACCAGCCTACCACCGATACCATCAGGCCTGTTCATGTCTCGGTACGTCGATTTAGTCTCCTCTATTTGTGTGTATCTGTCTGTTAGCACTTCTACATTTAGGTCATCTGCAACAAATAATTAAACACTGACAGTCTTCTTTTCGTTCCATCTGTGGATACCTCCACCGGAATTTGACCTTGATCAGACACTACTCATCAAAACAGCTCACGCTGCTTGCCATGCCTTACTTCATGATCTACAAATAGCTTTTATACCTGCATTTTGGAATCGTTAAGCACCTGACTTCTTACTCAAATCTTACGGATGCAGAACAGGATAGCCGGCTCATGATTTTGCAAGATGGAAAGGTTTACAGTTGCTGTGCTCTGAACGCTGCCCAGACCACGCAATGACAACAAACAAGAAGACTGTTTTAATTTAGTAGGTTTGGTGTTTATGTATTGTCTAATTACGTCCAGTATAGTTAAACACTACCTAATTTTGTTCTTGGTCATGCAACTGCCTACGTCGTCCTGTAGTATCCTTCAAACAGCAATTGTACTGTATATGTACCAAAAAACGTATATCTATGAATATATCTACGTATCGTTCTTACATAATCTCAAGCTGTACTGCCCACACTTTGCTCGCCCACGCGCTCAATGACGCGCACCGTATGTGACATACAAAACTTCAATGTATATTTAGGTGTCCTTACTCGCCGGCGCGCAGTTTGTACTAGTTTGTATCATTATCAGCACTGGCCCGGGCTAGCTAGCTAGTCACGCTGTATACACGTGCCAATTTAGACGGGCAGACAACAGTTGGGTTAACTGGTGTGAGTTGAAAGTGGCGACACGCATTCCATCCAGCTGGTGTCGTGGCAAACTGGCAACAGGCAGTACGTAGAACAGATTCGAGCGCGATCAGGAACGTACGCGTGGCCCCCCATGGATTGATGGATCATCATCATCATGGATTCATCGAGCAACCCAACGGACGCAGCATGCGCGCTCGACAACAACAGAGCAACACCTGTTTTTGGTCGAAGCAGAGCAGAGGCAGGGGACGAGGACACACGTACACGGTCCGTACGGCCCGGAGGCCAAATGGGATCTGGATAGACACAGGGAGGCGATGCCCCCCTCCATGGCCAGCTGCATCGCACGGGCAGAGCACGTGCAATGCATTATAACAAATATATATACTATTATTTCATTATAAAAAAAAACAAGGAGAGAGGGGCCGAGGGCAAAACCGTCAGTCAGCGTGCATGCGTGCGGAGACCAGGGTCAGCGGTATGATGCAGGCAGGGCTCGCAGACCAGATACAGATCCATGTCCAAAGCCATGGCTGTGGCTCGCGGATCGGCGCAGGCAGTCCATGGATGGATGGAGATGGATTCATGGATAGATAGAAGACGGCCGATGTCAGGCCGTGGCTGCATCTGCATCGGCGTCCATGGGCTAGGCGGGCTGCATCAGCGTGACCTCACTGTGGCTGGCCCGGTCGCCACGTGGGCCTTGGTGCTGCGACTCGTCCGAGGCGTCCATGTGTCCCGCCCCGCTGGCCCCCACCCCTTCGTGTCACCCGCTCTCCCTTACTTGGCACGCCGCGCCCCCCGCGTGGCCCCACGCCAAGGCTCCGCCTGGTGCCGCCTCTACACGGAGGCGCCATGCAGTGCCATGCGCCGGCTTCTCGGCCCGCCCGCCCGCCTGGCTTCATTGCGCACACTGAAACTGAAAGACTGCTGCCTGGCCTGCAGTGCCGCATCTGCACGCCTTGCCAACTGTCTATATATACCAGGCCAGGGAGCCTCACTCAGCACACACCACCACTCCACCAGGCACCGACACCCAGGCAAAGATTGCATTGCTAGCATCCATCGCCGGTCGCCGCCATCTCGATCCATCTGCTCACGGACGGACGAAGCTGGTCCACATGGATCGGTCGCTCGCCATGGACGTAGCGGCGATGCAGCGACGGCGACAGCAGTTCGTCCACCGCCTGCAGGTCCAGCAGCAGCAGCAAGGTACGCACCACCAGCCGCTGCCACCGCCGCCGCCGCCGCTGCCGCACCAGCAGCAGCAGCACCAGAACAGCAACAGCAGGGCTACCGGCGGCCGCAGGTGCTGCCCGCTGCGGCGGTCGCGGAAGGGGTGCATGAAGGGCAAGGGCGGGCCGAACAACCAGCAGTGCCCCTACCGCGGCGTCCGCCAGCGGACCTGGGGCAAGTGGGTGGCCGAGATCCGCGAGCCCAACCGCGGCGCGCGCCTCTGGCTCGGCACCTTCGGCAGCGCGCACGAGGCCGCGCGCGCCTACGACAACGCGGCCAGGCAGCTCTACGGCGACTGCGCGCGCCTCAACCTGAAGCTGCCAGTGCCTCCTCCGGCGGTTGCGGTTGCGGCGGCGGCAGGCGGAGGAGGACCGGCGGCGGTCGTGGTATCGTCTCCGTCCCTGCCTGACACCGTGGCTGCTGGCCCTGCTGCTGCTGGTGGTGGTGGGCACAACCGCCACCACCAGTACCTCCAGCAGCAGCAGGCCACCATGGCGTCGGCGCCCATGATGATGATGCAGTACTCCTCCAGCTACTCCGCCGATGCGTCGTCGTCCAACTCCGACTCCTTCTCCAACTCCTACTCCAGCTCGTCGCCGGTGACGACCATGACGGCCTCGCCCACCTACAACTACAACCACCACCAGACGATCCAGATGACGCCGCCACCACCGTCGTCATGCGGCGGCGTGATGACGGCGCCCACCGTGCCTCAGGCGCAGCAGGGCTGCCACGTTGACGACGCCACCACCGTCACCACCACGATGGAGATGCAGCGTCACCAGCAGATGCTGCGCGAGCTGGCGGCGGCGCCTCTGCACCAGGAGCCCGACGACTTCGAGGACTTCATGACGCGGCTGCCCAGGGCGGAGGACTTCGGCCTGCAGGGCTTCCAGGAGGTGGCCCCCGAGGTGTTCGACGAAGCCGCCGGCATCTGGGACCACGCCGCCGCCGCCTGGTCGACCCCCGCCACCATGATGATCGACTCCGCCGCCGGCGCCGCCCAGCACCAGCCGCAGCAGGTCGTCGTCCCTCTTTGACTCTCGCGTCCATCGATGACGCCGCCGCGCGCCCTGCACCTGCTACTTCGTTCCAAAGCTGCATCGACGAACTGGCCGGTGTACGTGGCGAAGTGTTTCGACGCGCGCGCGATGAGAATACTCTGTGATATAGACTGCTATATAGTTTTGTTTCTCCGTTAACCGTGGGTTTTATGTCTGGATAATGTTCAAGGTTTGTAAGATATCCTCCCTCCGTACTAAAAAAAATAAAGTTATTTTTGAACAGTGATATGATCTCCAAAGTATTACTTTGACTCTTTATTTTTATAAAAATATTTATTAAAAAGTATATATATTTTTATAAAAGTATTTTTAAGATAAATCTATTTATATAGCTTTCATATTTCCAAACTCAATAACTTAAAAAATTATTTATGATTTATATTCCTAATGTTTGATCAAAGCTTTGCCTAAAACAACTTTATTTTTTTAGTACGGAAAGAGTATACTGTAGTATTGATGTCTTAAACATATATATACTCCTAGCTATATACATATAGTCTTTGTGGGTTTGTATGTGTGGTATATGCATGGGCGTCTAGCTAATGTACAGTACTACTACCATGGACATATTTAATATTCATTTCGTTTTTCCTAATTATTTATGGTTTTCATTTAATTTGGATCTGTTTCAGGTTTTGTAAATAAACAAAATATATACACTATAGTGGTGTCCTAAAAATATAATCTTATATAGTCTATGGCTTTATTTGGATGCGTGTGTATTTATTCAATTTACGTATGTTGGAGTGAAATGAAATGAAATTTAGTATAGTTCCACTGTAATTCACTTTAACCCATGTGGATTGAGATTAATCATGAATACATGCGCATCAAATAAGTCCGGTATGTTTTCTCTATTAATATAGTATTGCATCGAAGTGCGTACTGCGTACGTGCGTATTTACATGTACGTACAGTAGTGCTTTGAAGCAGCATAGTCACAGTAATGATGTATGCAACGAATTGAACTCTGTTGTGCTGTTGTTTGATCCGAGGCTATTGATGGTCCCGTTCACTTGTCTTATAATCTGTATTTTTTAGTTTATTTTTTACTCGAAACAATATTTTTCTCTCATAACGAATCAAATAAAACAGTGTTTCAATTCGTTTTTTCAATAAAGCGAACGGGACCGATGTCGATGTGTACCTGCACTGCTCATGCGTGCCGGGCTCGGAGCAAATAAGGCAATGTTTAGTTCCACCGAAATCTAAAATTTGGCACTATATAAAAAGAAGATTCTCCGTCACATCAAACTTGTGGTACATACATGGAGTACTAAATGTAGATGAAATCAAAAACTATTTGCAAAGTTTGGTTGAACTTTGCAAGACGAATCTTTTGAGCCTAATTAGTCAATATTTGAACAATAATTCATAAATACAAAACGAAATTACTATAGTGTTCGCCGTCACATCGAACACTATGCAAATGTCGAATCGGCAGCGAACTAAACGCGGCCTAAACCATCCAGTGGAATTGACACGCGCATCATGCATGCATGGATCGGAGTGTGTCGTGTACGCTCGACGGCTCGAGCGATGTGCACAGTTGGCTCGTGGAGTCCAGAGTCTCGGGGGAAGTAGCTAGCCTCATGCCATATGGCATGGTGTTGATCTGTATGCTATACTAAAGGCGCGTTTAGTTCCGGCCAAAGGTGGCGCCGCGGATTTCCAGCTACACCGTAGCGCACTGTAGCATTTTGTTTGTATTTGGTAATAATTGTTCAAACAATGACTAATTAGGCTCAAAACGTTCGTCTCGCAAAATACCATCAAACTGTGCAATTAGTTTTTGATTTCGTCTACATTTAATACTTCATGCATGTACCGCAAATTTAATGTGACAAGGAATCTTCTTTTTGCATAGTGCCAAATTCAAAAATTGGGGGAACTAAACATGACCTAAAGTAGCCTACTTCAGCCATGTGACGGCTGAAGACACATGCATATGCGCACGTGCGGCTATTACAAGGGTTAATTGTATAATGATATATACTACTATTAGCAATAGCCAGGAAGGGAGAAAAATGCATGCAATAAAGGATCAGAAAATAAATCGCAAAAAAGAGAGAGAAAGGATCAGAAAATATATATAAATTGAATATCAGCAAAGGCTCGACCCAGCAGACAACGTTGCAAACCAACACGTAACTCTTGGGCCGGCCCTAGTACCTAAACAGCAGGTCAGAAGGGCGATCCAATTTTCGACCGGAAGGCCTAGCCGAGGAGGAACGACGCCCGCTTCTAGCTCCGGCCCACCTCTCCGATCGGAGCGCTCGCTTCGGTTTTCAGCCCGCCTCCGGACGGCCTCTCCGACGGGAAGGCCTGGCCAAAACACCACTTCCGACTCCGACCCGCTTCTCTGACCGGAAGACGCCGAACCCCTGCCTACAGCTCCTCTCCGACTGGAGCAATCAAAGCCGACTAGGGACCAACCGACCGGGGACGCCCGCTCGGTAAGGACCAGGAAACGGACGGAGAAAGTAAGGCAGGGTACACAAGTCAAACCGTAATACCAGGAACCGTACCCTGTACACCTGCAGGATAGTCCCCTGTGACCCCCATGACATGACGGAACCGAAGCAGTGTTGTAGGCGCCGATATTTTCCCCTACACTGTTGTGGGCGCCAATCAACTCCCATACCAGATAAATACGGTAAGGCTCCCCCACATGCCTCTGGGCATCAACACTGTTGTGGGCGCCGCCATTTACCATACCAGGTGAACATGGTAAAACTCCTTACATGCCTCTGGGTATCAACAGTGTGGCAGGCACCGACATCTGCCATACCAGAAGAAGACGACGTAACCTCCCACGTGCATCTAATAAGATAATAAACAGTATTGTGGACGCCTACCATCATCTTGTACCCACCGGCGTAGGCAGCAAGACTTAGCAGCGTACGTACTCTCTCCCTCTCACTTGTAAGGCCATCCCCTTCATCTATAAAAGGGGATGAGCTCTCTCCAAAAGACAAGTTGATTCAGATCGATCAGTTCACTAGTACACAACCATAGAATCACCAGGTTCAAACCACGACCACACGCTTGAACACTTTGCACATAGCGGAGCTCCCGTCACTCTCGGCCCCACTAGACCAGAGTCCGACCGGACCTCTTGTACCCCCCATCTTTCTCCTTCTCGTTTGTAACCCTACTGCAAACTTCAAGCACCTAGGCTCAGGAATAAAGTCATCGACCGACTCAAACTGGACGTAGGGCACGTTGCCTGAACCAATATAAACCATGTGTCATTGAGTGCTAGGCCACATTCGATCACAACGTACGGCAACATTACAAATATTTACGTGTTGGTCACTTTCTGCACCGACAGTTGGTGCCGTCCGTGGGGAATCCGCTGTACGTTCAACACTTTTTGGTTATTGGATGGCCCACTTTTCCGCCACCCTCGCCGTGGCGGGCTCAAGCAATATGACTCGCTTTGGTTCATGGGAGTTTCCCACACTTCTACCTGTTGGGATGTGGGTTCCACCTGTCTTCGAGCCGTCCCAGGCCTTCCTCTTCGGAAGCCTGGACTTCGTCGCCGAGCGGCTCGGCGTACTACACCTCCACGAGGAGGCACTAGTTCCAGCACCCGTCGGAGGGGTGCCCTCCATCGGCTCCAGGTCATACGACGACTTCAATGATGAGGTGCCTGCGCTTCATTCCGAGCAAACTTTCTACTCAAACCCCGCTGTGAGTAATGTACATGCTGTTATTTACTTACTATTCACTATCTTCCGCTGATTATCTGGAGGGACCCCGTTGTCCCTGCCGCGACTGCCATGCGACCGGTTCCCCTACGGCCTCGCGTCCCCCACAGATGCGTATGCCCGGGGGCTCCGAAGGATGCCGGCGCCACCCCCTCTCATGTCCGAATTCATGGGGATGGCGAGCTATGCTCCCACCTATTTCCTTGACCTCATGGATGACGATGTTGAGAGTGACGGCTCCAGCATCGGCGACGTGGCACCTAGCCACCGTCTGTCCTAGGAGTGCGCTATGGCAGATGCTCTAGGACAGCCGCCGGTGGTAGTATAGTCCTTGTAGACTCGCACCTCTCCGGACCCTTGTGCGGGGACCCTCGCGCTCACACAAGACCACGACGAGAAGCTACGACAACGGTGGCAGAACCAGCCGCCACCTGCTCCGGCACGCTCGGCGCACCACACTGCGCCCCGTGCGCATAAAACAGCGAGCAGCGCTCGAGGCCGCGCCCGCTAGCTCCAGCGCAACATCATGGACGGGGGAACGATCCCCCCACAGTTCACATGGGCTGACCAAAACATCACCACTACGGCGATGCTTCTACGCGGCCTTCCCGAGCCGAATGACCCCCAGGAACAGGCGATCCACCGGAACCTTCGGGCACTGGTGGAAACCACCACTGTTCAACAGGCGGAGAGCTCCGCATCACGACACCGACTCGCAGCCTCTCTCCCCAGGGGAGTGGGGACACGCCAGACGAATCACTCCACCCGCTCGCCGCTACAGCCGTCGAGCGCGGCACAGGAGGCTGCATCTGCGTCTCGATCTGACCTAGTGTCCGCTCCACACCGACCGCCTATATGCGAGCGGCTCGGGACGAACCAAGATGCTCGCAACGTCATCAGCAACCGGCATGGGTCCTAGCATGATGATGACGTCCATCAAGCGACAGTGATGGCAGGCGACACAGACCCCGGCTGGACCATCACGAGGAGTGGTCAAACACACCCTAGGTGTGGTCGCCGGCCGGACGAGCAGAGTCCTAGCCCGGATGGCCTGGGACCACGGGCCTTTGCCCGACGCATCTAGAAAGCGCTACTCCCACAATGCTTCAACGGAGGCCGAGGCAAAGGCAAGACCAATCACGAGGATCAGGACGAGAGCCCCTCCATGCAGAGGGGCAAAAAGAACAGAAAAGATCGCCGCTGACCGGCCAACTCTGTGTTGGTCACCATGGCTGATCACACAGACAAGCAGCCCCAGCAGGG